GGACAGGGAACAGGAATCACCAAGCAAACGCTCCATGAACATGAAGGGTAACTCACTGGAATGCTGTCTACACAGCATGCCCGATAACACCTTTGCTTCAACATTCTGGGAAACTGATTTTACATAGTCTCATATTCCAACCGATTTCTTCTCTCTCCCCAGAAACCAGAGGCCATACACTGGAGGCCTGTGCGACAGATATAAAGTCTACTTACAGAAGTGCTCTGTTTGGCCCACATGGTATTATTTTTTTTAAAAAATCGACTCAACTGCGGGTACTTAAAACTCAGTAGATTCCTTGCAAAATGGTGAGCTTACAGCTCTTGGAAAAAAAAAAAAAAATCAGATGTGGCTGGACAGGGCCAGGGGTCCTGGCCACCCCGACGTTGGGGCTGAGCTCCAGTGCCCAAACCCCACACTTCTCAACCAGGCACCGGCTAAGGCCTGTTTCACTCAGGCTGGTACTGGCCTGGCCTCGGAAGGCATTTGAATGTACGACCCCTGCTGGAAAGCTACCAAAAAGCAGGCAACATGGAGGAAAAAAAAAAAAAAAAAAAAAAGTAAAGAAAAGATGCCAACTGGGATCTATTTCCATTATGTTCAAGCTATTCCTCGGAAGAATAATGTATTCATTTTTCTAGAACTCTGGTGGTACCACATAACCATTGACAAACTATGGCCCAGTAAATATTATTCTAACGGCCTGAAAAAGCTATGAGCTTAATTCCCTGTGGGGAGAGGAAGCTGAGAAAGCTTCATGCCGGAGGCAGGCCTGAAGGGATCGGGAGAGGCTGCACAAGAGCTGGTTACGACTGCGGCTAACTCAGAAAAAGGAGCTTCCTTGAAGACTAAGGGTCACCTCCAGGAATTGATGAGAAGCTGAGAAGCTAAAAAGCCAGGCTTGGAAAAAGAGAAGGAAGGCACCTGGGTGCCAGGGAACATGTCAGGGTCATGCCATGGGAACAGCACCTCTGGGAAATCCTGAAATCTCCCGCTGCTGCTGACGCCACTTGATTCATGACTCACGGTGGTAAATGAACACTTAGCTGTCCTGACGTCCCTTAGCAAGTCCCTCAAGATGCCAGGTCCCAGGTGGGATCCTCCAATCGAGCCTCCGTTCAGGGCCCAGAGAGATGGACAAGGAGAAAGAGCGCCCCACCTCCCACTGAAAAGTGCCTCCAGGGGCACCTTCCAAAATGCAAAAGTCCACTGTGGGGTAGGAGGATCTTAAGTGGTGATGGGAGGGATGGGGCAATACGATCAGTGCAGCGGCACAGAATGAGAACAGACAGACCCGAACTCCAATCTGGAATCTTCTGTACCTTCAAGAAAACCAGTTAACTTTTATTCTGATCTACACATTCCAAATCTCTAAAATAGAAATCATGCCATCTGTCTGTGCACAACACAGGGTTGCTGTGGAGATTCCGTCCAATCGTTCATTCAAAACTACTTGTCGAGCCATTTATTAAGTGACCAGGCACTTAGCTAGGTCCCGGGGACAAATCTGGAACACCCACAATGCAACAGAGACCCAGTGCTTTATGCTGATGACAGATTTAGACAAGGGAGACCCAACTCCGGTCTTGAAATTGATCATGTATTACTCTGCCCCAACTGATGCACTCATCTGCAACTCTTCTCCTTTTGTGATTAATCAATTTCAGCTCCCTTCCTCGAAATACACATACATACATACATAGGTTAAGATACAAAATCCATTAAGTTAACTCTTAAAAATACTCTAAAAAATTTAACTCTGACCCTGAAAACAAGCGACTAACGGTTCTGAGGAGCAGGGAGGCCTGGTGCTGACGAATTTTAGGTGATCACAAGGAGATACCAGCCCATTATATGAAATCCTCTCCCCCATTTAACCTTTAGCATATGTAATTGACGCAGACATTAGCAATCTGTAATTAACATTAAAACAGACCAAATGAAATTTGCAGGAAATACATGGTAAGTAGCCCTGAACATTTTTCACCCTTGTTTCACAATTGCCAAATGCTCTGCACATACGTTTTCTCACTTTCTCATAAAAAATCTTTCAGCCTCTTATTTTTCAGAGGAAGAATTCAAGGCTCAGAGGGAAAGCTAATTTGCTTAGGGCCTGGGGCAAGAGGCGGCCTGCAAATCCCACTAGCGCACTCACCACTCTCCCCACTTAGAAAAGGGCAGCTTCAGTAGCAAGCACTGGTTCATTGGTGGAGTCCAAAGAAGATACACCAAAATCACAGAGGACAACTTGGTCTATTCCAACGCCCACTGAAAAGTTACTGCATTTGCTACATAGCAGCTAGAGCATTACAACTCTCCAGCTTTGTCTTCATCCCTCCAAGACTGTCTCTCAGAACGGGGATCCTGGCTTAGAGACATGCCCCGGAGCCTGCTGTCTGAGCCCTGACCCTGGGACAGGCTCACCTACAGGATATCAATACATTGTAGTGTTCTTCTCTCCAGTCTCTAGGCTCAACAGAGAGAACATGACTCACGACTCAGTACTCAAGGTGGGTGTGTGTTACCCTGGGTAGATGCCCTGGCAGGGGAAAGGCAGTGTGCACGGATCAAGCAATTCTACATCAGCCCGTCCGTACTTCCAGCCCCTTCCGGTCACTATCAGATGGTAATTCAAGGTAAGAAAAGCTTCCACATTGCTTTTCCCTTCAAAGAGCTCTCTCGGGGGGCTTTTCCAGTAAGGAACTTTCTTCTTTTGACAACGAAAGCACAAGCCCCAACTGTATTGGGGAGTCCAAGCAAAGGGTTCCTAAGCATATACACAGTGTAAAGCACTGCTTTGGACTGGAGGACTTGTGGCTTCATACTAGGGGTACCAACAACAGAGCTTCCCTGGGATTTTCCCAATCCCATTTGCAAGTTCAAGGTACCACTTTCTCATCAGCTTCCCAAGCAAACAAAACAAAACAAAACAAAACAAAAAACCAAACCTCCCATTTTAAAGCTACAGTGCACCATACACCAGGCAGCTTGGGCCAATCCTCACTCAATGCTGCTGTCCTAATTAACTGCCAGGACTTAGGAATGCTTAGTCACGAAGTTGTGAATCCCAGATCCCCATCAACACGGGCTGAGAGTTAGAAGGACCCACTGGAGCCCAGAAAGGCTCCTTGAGAAGCTGATCTTTCTCTTCTAGTTTTGGGGAAAACCTTATGTAACACAGTGGTCCATTTGACCATGTTACTTCTGCAATCTTATGGAAGTAAAAGAATGTAAGCCCTGGAAATGCAAAGAATAACGCGAGGATTTGCAGTTGAAGCGTCCATCTCCCGGAATTTCACGAGGCCAGGCTTTTCTAGTTGCACCCAATCTTGCTGAAAACAAGAGTGTTTCCAAACGCCAAAGGATGGGCTTTCTAAACACAGGGAGACAGAAGTTAGGTTATGTCCCTTCCTCCCCCACCCCTTCTTAAGACGGAATTCCTGGAATTAACCCTTGAGTGGAAGTTGGTAATTGCCTTTCAATAAAATTGGGTGAGATGTGGCTGCAAAGCGAGAACGCAAGAGTTAGGACCCAAAGGATCCTGCGTGCGCCCGGGCTGCAGCCACGAAAGCCAGCCAAACGACGGCGCCCGGACGCAGGGACTCCTCCCGGGACCGGCTCCCGTGGCGGGCGGCGGGCGGCGCAGCCGAGCCGGTGGTGCCCGGGTTCCGAGAGCTCTGGCTGCGGGAAGAGGAGCGGATACTCTCCATCCTCACTTGGCTGTTCCTCGCGGCTGCTCCCTGCCAGCAGGGTACCGCTTCTGGGCGCGCAGTGCGAAGAGAATGGATTTGGAGTCGCCTCCCCAGAATCCCCCCAAAAGCACCTTCCTGCAAGTAGTGGCTAAAAATAGCCGGCGGATAACGCTGGGGGAGGAGCGAGACGCGCGCAAGGCAAGGCGAAGCGAGGCAAGGCTACGTCTTGTCCTGCACAGTGGAGGGCGGAGGAGAGATGCAACCCAGCTCCCGAGAGAGGGGCCTGGGTGCACGAAGAAGCGGGGACGCCCGCCAGCGAAGGGGGTGAAATGGAAGACGCACAGCGCCGGCAAACAACCGCGCAGCCAAGCGCACCCCCCACCCCGAGCCTTGCAACCCCGCTCCAGCTCCCGCCCGCTTCTCCATCCTATGCCCGGCTCTGGAAGCCGGCCCTCCGGCTCCCGGGACAGGCTGGGGCCAGAAGGGGGAGCAGCGCGCAGTCCGCCGGCTGGCTCAGAGAGCGCACCTGGAGATGTCAGGCTCGCCTAGTTGTGCCCCCGGTTCCGAGAGGGGGTCTTGTGCGCTCCCATCGCGGGTGGGCGCCCCGCCTCCCCCCACCCTCATCTGCCGCCACCACCCAAGGTGGTGCTCGAAATAGAAACAGAAGCAGAAAAAAATCGGTGAAAAGTACTATGAAAAAGCAGGACGGTGTAGAACTGGCATTCGGGAAAGAGATTACCTATGGTCCATCGCCTTAATCTCTCTCCGCCGGAACATCCCCGCCCCTTGGGAGATGTCCCGTGTCTCCTCCACTCCATCCAAATGCAAAGGCAAGGCAGACCTAGGTTTCCCCACCCGGGGTGCTCTCTCCACCGACTGACTTTTGCTGACTGTATCCCTGCCCCAGTTCCCGGCCAGAGTGGTACCCGGGCTTTGCTGCGCGCTGCGCTCCGGCCGCCCCGAGCCGTCCCAGCGAGATGCGCTGGGCAGGAACTAGCCCCCTGGCTCTGCTGGGGGAGGATCCAATCCACAAAGTCAAAAACCCGAAAACCTGTCCATAAGGAAAAAAAAAAAAAGTCCCTCGGGATTTGCAGGGCTGAGAGGGCAAGGCAGGAGGTGAGAAGGATGAGAAAACCCCGGATCTCTCCTTCCCTGTTCCCCCAAATCCATTCCACTTGCTCCAGCCTCGACTCACCTTGGGCTTTGCGCTCGCCCTTAATCCGGGACGCCGGTGAGGGCACCCCGACGGCCCCAAGTCTTGCCACTCCCCAGCCTGGGAGGCCCCCGCCACAGGCGCGCGGCACTCACCTGAGCTGCGCCGCGGTCCAGCCGGTCCGGCGCCCGAAGTCGGCTCTCGGGCTGGGCCATGGGCAGCGCCGCGGAGCACCGGCGGCCGGCGGAGCGAGCCGGGAGGGAGGGGGGCGCCTCGGGGCAGGCGGACGAGGCTGGGGCGCAGGCACCCACGGAGATCCAGCAGAGACGGCGGCTGGTAGCTGCCGGCGCGCCGGGGACTTTGCAGGCGGGAGGCTCGGCGATCAGTCCCGCGGAGGGGAGGAGCGGGAGGAGGAGCAGGAGCAGGAGGAGGGGACGGAGGGGGCCGGGCCCTGAGGGAGAGCGCGTTGGGCAGAGGAGGATCGCGAGCGCCCACTGCTGCCCGGCCCGCTCCGGTGCTGCCCCGAGTCGGGCCCGCTCCGAGCGGCCGCGCCGGGTTCTCGCCTCGCGCCGACCGGCAGCGGACAAGTGCATCAGGCCCCGCGGCGTGGCGGCTCCTCGGATTTCAGTCCAGAGGGAGGAGACCCGCGCGGCCCGGAGGGTGGGGTCGGCTGTGGATTGGGTGACGCTGCCTGCGCCGCAAACCTGGGACGTCCCGTCCACGCCCTCTCCCCCGCTGGGAAAGGCTAGGTCCGAACTCCAGCCTCCCTCCCCCCTTTTTCTGCACCCTCCAGCTCCGCACGGCCCTGGGGTTGGCGCCCTTCCCACGTGCGTCTGCACACCCAGTTTCCTTCCTGGCAGGTGACCCACCTTAGGCCCCGCTTGCGCCGCCCTGGAGGCGGAGGGGGCCCTCCCCGGGAGCTCGCACCGCCTCCCGGCCGGGACGCCAGCGACCCGGGAGCCCCAGCCGGCGCGGGAATCCGCGCCCGGAGCCGGCTCGGTTGCGCGTCCGGGAGTGGATGCGGATTTCCCGGGAGAGCGCGGAGGATTCACCTCTGCGTTTGCTGGCACCCCAGGGTTGCAAACGTCTGCTCGGAAATCAAGCAGGGATTCTCTGTCCCCTCCCCAGATGCAGTAGCTGGAGGTTTGGGGTGAGAATTCCACCAGCATCTCAGTAGTTCAACTTCGGAGTTAACGGTTTCGAGGGGTGTGGGGCTGGGGTCCCCTAGCGGAGGCTGGATCGCCTCCCTGCCCCGCTTACCTGAGCCAAAGGTAAGCTGCCCTCAGAGACAGGTCGGCAGACAAACGCGCTGGTAAGCAGGAAGGGAGGCGCCAAGAAACACGCCAAATGCACCTCCAGGTAATTAATTCTCAGTGAGATTTCAGCACATCTTCCGTCTCGTAAATATTGGAAGATAAATATGTGGAAGAATTCGACTTTGTCATTTAAGTTTGAAAAAACAATCTTTCCTTAATTTTACATAGTTTGGAAATACTTGCCCATTGAAGGAACGGTTGCCAGGGAGAAATGGACCCCTTTACTCGAGGAAGGTTACCTATTTGCCCCCTTAGAAAGCGAGGCGATGACCACCGGCATTTTCTATCTGATACAGCCAGTAGCATCTGGGAGCCAAGACCCGAGACTTGTTTTGGAAAACAAGCTTTTAGGGGTTTTTGTGACCCTGGCGATTTCTCTGAGCCAGACTAATGCTGATATAGGTATTTTGGGTAATATATGCATGTATAGATGCATTTTTAAGTCATTTTAAAGCCCTACTTTGAAAAGCCTCAGCATTTAAATTTACATTAGCTTTAAAAGAACTGCTTCCGCCCCCCATTCTATGAAGCTGTGTGAAATAGTATATGAGGTAGTACAGGTCAAACGGTCATCTGAGATAAACCCTTGCCAATATCCTTTAGCTCCTACCAGCAGCTAAAGCCAAGTGCAGATCAGGAGTTCTTTCAAAACAGGGGGCAGCTTTGATGTTCTGCGTTGGTATGATTACTTTTTTTCCTTGAGAGTTCAAATTGCTTGCGTGTGTAGTTGGGAATCTCACCTCTCATTTGCAAGATGCCCAGGGAGGCTGCCAGTCATTCTATTTAGCACCCTGGGAGCCAGAGGGCAGGTTCACTGATCCCCTTAGTTCCCCACTACAAGTCCTGAAAAGGAACAAGAACCTTAGGCCCCAGCCCCAAGTCTCTTCTAGAAGCTTCACTTCTTGGAGGAAGCAACTCCAAGTAGATCTGGCAAGTGACAAGAATTTGAGGACTGAGGATTAAGTGTCTCTGACTTCGGCTCAGGTCATGATCTCGTGGTAAGTGGGCTCGAGTCCCGCGTCCGGCTCTGGGCTGACAGCTCTGAGCCTGGAGCCCGCTTCCTATTCTGTGTCTCCCTCTCTCTCTGTCCCTCCCCCACTTGCACTCTGTCTCTCTCTCGTAAATAAATACAACATTAAAAAAAAAATTTGAGGACTGAATTTTCAGCTTCTCTCATTTAAACAAAAAATCAGTCAATGTGAATTAAAAATGATCCACGTTCTTATGTTTAGATAAATAAGAAAGTGTTATTGGCCTTTTTGTTCTTTGTTAGCTTTAGGTCTCTGCCAAGACATTTGTCATTCTCTTAAACAGCCTCGTCTGACCTCTTCTGGGCATGAGTTAGGTTTCCTATTCAGGCATTTATGTATCACCAGGACTCAGCTCAGCTTTAAGAACACAAATATTGTATTGAAAATATCTGCGTAGAGATTTGTCTTCCCCACTAGACTAGAAATGCTTTGAGTTGTGGGGACCATTATGGGAACCACAGAGAACTCTGTGTTCTGTCCCCAGAACCTTGCCTGAGCCAGGCAGAGAGAGAGAGTCCCAAGCAGGTTCCATGCTGTCAGCCTGGAGCCTGAGGCTGAGCACCATCTCCCCAACCCGGAGATCATGACCTGAGCCGAAATCAAGAGTGGGATGCTTAACCGACTGAGCCACCCAGGCGCCCCATGAAATTTAACTTTTAATTGTTCGTTAATTAATTTAGAAGGCTAGGTCCCACAAAGGTCAAAGTTATAATTCAACCCTGTAACCACACATGCCAAGAATAAATTTGGTGTCATAAGGGGATAAAAGTCTGGCTTTCAGAAAAGCATAAAATAATCCGTTAATCATGGACGCGTCGATTGTTTGTAGGGACGCACGTCAAGTTGGGAGTTGGACACTGTGGTTGGGGGAGGTACACGATGGGTGGGGTGAGTTGGGAGGAATTGCCATCCTACATCTTTTCTGGATATGACCCTCATTTTCTCTCTCTAGAGCCAACTGCACCAGCTAATTAGCAAATCAAAAGAAATGGAAACCATCCTAGACCTGAGCACAATCAAATTAGCGGAGTTATTTGAGGATACCATTTTCACACAGTGTAATCACGTTCTCTTTGTTTCGGTCAAATGAGCGAAAATCATCTTTCACACCCAATGCCCTCCCCTCTGCCCAGCTTTCTGGATGGTGCATTTGCCTATCTGTTCTCATTAGTTTTACACACAATCTTTTCTATAAAGGCAAGAACGCACAAGGTACAATTAGACAGTATCCATCAAGCTTCCCATACAACAAGGACCTTTTAAAAATACATCTGACTTTTCGGGTGATTCAGCAGTAAGAGCCATTAGTGCACCATCTAAATCAGGACTTGGAAAGTTTATTAAAATTGGATTTTTAACCTGATCCCAATTTCCTCTGCTTATAAAGAATCCCATTGGACTCCTTAATATTCATGCTATTAACCTGAAAGATTCAAGCTGTCATTATGGGAGGAAAGACTATACAGGGTACGTAGCCCCACAGGCTGGAGTTATAGATAAAATCACGTTGAGCCCAGGCAGGTAGAGGGACTATGGATCCTGAACATCCTCAGGAGAAGCAAGCTCTCTCTTTTTCTCTCTCCTCTTCTTCCCTTCTCCCAACCGCCCTTTTCTATGACACATGAAAACAAACAGAATTAACAAAAGCAAACATAACCAAACCATTTAATTACAGAGAGCACTGGGCGAGGAGTCTAGTCCTTACTGGAAGGGTAGCTGCCTCAGAGAAATCACCTCTACCTCTGGGACCCTAATGACTCCCACTCATGTCATGGCTGTAAATCCGTGTCCCTCTGCCTTTGCCATAGGAGGAAATCACAGTTTTTTGTTTTTTTTTTTTTAATTTTTTTTTCAACGTTTTTTATTTATTTTTTTGGGACAGAGAGAGACAGAGCATGAACAGGGGAGGGGCAGAGAGAGAGGGAGACACAGAATCGGAAACAGGCTCCAGGCTCCGAGCCATCAGCCCAGAGCCCGACGCGGGGCTCGAACTCGCGGACCGCGAGATCGTGACCTGGCTGAAGTCGGACGCTTAACCGGCTGCGCCACCCAGGCGCCCCGGAAATCACAGTTTTTAAGACGGTTGGTACAAGGACAAAATGTACACGTCCTGTCATTCGTGTTGCATGGTACCTGGCCCCAAAGCCTTGAAAAAAATCCCAGCCGGTGTTATTACTGAGTGTTGGTTGAACCCGTGGCACGTTTGCTTTTGTCTCCATTGTCCTCCCTTTGTCTTCTGCAGAACGTGATTTATCTTCCTTCGCTTCTGCAGCACATAGTTTACAACTTAACTGATGCCAGTGAGTTTCGGTGAAGTCGGGGGTCAGTGCTGTGTCTCCTGGAGGTAAGATTTTCTGCTCCCTTAGGACAGAGGTGGGGTCTTGACTCTCTACTTCTTGCTGAGCACCTGGCATAGTGTTGCACACATACTAGGTGCTCAACAAAGCCTCTTGTATCTTAGGATATTGGCAGCTTACAGATCACCTATCAAGACCCTCTCGTTTTGCAGCTGACGACACCTAAGCTGACGGCTGGGAGCCTGGAGGCTGCTTCGGATTCTTTGTCTCCCTCTCTCTCTGCCCCTCCCTGGCTCACGCTGTGTCTCCTTTGGCTCAAAAATAAATAAACATTAAAAATAAATCTTAAAAACACATTTTTGAGAGGCCCTGAAAGTACCTGGGGCTCCTATGACTCCCGTTGGATAAACAACTCCAGACAACAGATTGCGTTTATTTCTGATCCTGTGTCCAACTTTGCCCCAAATCACACACATCGGTGCTGCAGAAATTACAATATTGCAGGCCTGAAGGGGTCCCCTTGTTCAGATTATCAGACCCTGCTGAGCGCTGGGATGCCTTCGGGGCAGCGGGAAATTGTGGCGCTCCCTTGGATTTTAGGTTTGCTGGGACCAAAGCTGACCGATGCTTTGAGGAGCAGGTCTTTGCTGGTTTCCCCTTTTAAAGGCCTTGTTCGAGGATACTGGAGAGTTCAACTCTTGGAAAAAAATAAATAAATAAAGCTCTTTCCCTTTCTCTCCAGCCCCATCGGTTGAGTTGAAACAACTGCTGAGTACTGGGTACGTCCCATGTCGCAGCCCTGGGGTAGGGATGTTTGTGGGGAAGAATAAAATTGAATCCCTTACCTGAAGGTGCGCACAGACACGCATGAGCAGAAAAATAACAATTCGGTCCGATCATTCTCATGAGCTCTTGGTGCTCTGAACACCGGAAAGCTCCAAGGAGAGTTTGGACTGTGAC